TCTATATTTCAGATATTTCAGAACAGATGCAACGTTTATCAAATACCATAATTATAGGCTGAGATATAGATTATGAAAATAAAGTACAAAGTGCTTTATGAGAACGAAGTAACAGGAAAGAGGCAGGACATTTACTTGTTATCTGTTGTGATCCTAGCAGTATTTTCTCAGGCTGTCTTCCTTTTACAGAGGAAACCAAAGCTTCAGGTTGCTAATTTGCCAAATTCACACAATTTCCAAGTCTGAGAGACAAGAACATAGATTTAACTCAAAGACTATGTTCTGTCTACTCTTCCTTAATTTTACTAGTATCTACACACTCAATGGCCCGATTAAGTGATTAAGTGCACATCTCTGTTCTTTCTCTCTTAGTTAATGAGGCCTAGTGAGACACCCTATTTAACAGGTGAAATTGCTTCTTTTGATCCCCTTTACCCACTCCTACTTCTTGCAAAGTATTTCTCACTGTAACACATAGCACATTTTATTTATATGTGTACTAATATATGGTCCCATGCTAGGTGGTACAATCTAGGATTGTGGTTGAACGCTCTAAAAGGTTTGCAATCACTATTCTAGAAAGTCAGGAATCCACTTGTTTTGCTCACAGATTATCTGTCTACCCAGAACACAACTACATTAAAACAAAACCCTAACCACAGTGACTGGCATATACAAGTAGACATTGACCCATTTTTCCTTTCCACTTTTCATCTTTAGCTGTATACAAGAGTTTCTTTGATCATCTTTACTTTAAATTCCTGAGAAAGCAAAATAGACCTATATATCAGCCAAATTTACACTTAAATAATAAATGTATTCTAAGTTTCTTTTGTTAAAAAACAAGAAAGCCTGAACCATGAATATCATTTTAAAAAAAATTCTAGCCAGTTAAACAGCAAAAAAATAGGTAAAACAAATCATGAAATGTGTAAAATGCAGCTGACAATTGTCAGCGTTTAGGGGTACCTGCTATGTCCTCTAGTCCTATGATTATACAGAAGTCAAATGTCAGCCACAGATGAAATGTAAGAATCAGAGTACAGGTTGAGTATTCTTTATCCAAAATGCATGGGACTATCTTTGATTTGGGAATTTTTTGAATTTTGGAATATTGGTATGGTTTTATCAGTTTGAGCACTGCTAATTCAAAACCCAGAAATTCTTAAATGTTCCCAAACCAAAACATTTTAAGGGCCATGTTGGCACTCAAAGAGTTTTGAATATTAAATTTCAGATTTCTGGATTAGGGACGCTCCACCTGTATTTTAAAACAATGGTTCTCAAACTGTATGGAGTCAAAACCCATTAACTTTTTAAAGTTGGAATGATGAAGTCACCAAATTTTAATTTTCCCACAAAAGGATATTAAGAATTAAATAGCTACTATCACTAGAATTTTATCAGCATATATTAACACAAGAAAGACAATGTCAGTTTTTTTAAAAAGGAAGTTACTTTTATAGAGTGAATTTATTCACAACAGCCTCATATACACAGTGAATTTTAAGATCAAAATGCAAAAAAACTAAAACTGTTAAAGGCTTCACTTAAAAAGAAAAAAAAAATCAGAAAAAATACTGGTACTAAAGTTAAAAACTTCGAGTCACTAAAAGATGCCTTATTTAAAGTGAATAGGCACACTAAAAACTGGAAGATCTGCCAGGCGTGGTAATGCACACCTGTAATCCCAATGCTCAGGGTGCTGAGGGGATAGGATTTGCAGTGAGTTCCAAGCCAGTTTGGGCAACACAGTGAAACCCTATTTAAAAAAAAAAAAAAAAAAAAAAGACTGGTGTAGTTCTTCAAAGTTTACTAAGTACTGTTATCCAAACTATATAAAACTAATTACAAACCAGTAAGAAAAGGTAACACTGAACCAGTAATTCACACAAAAAGCATCTGAATGGCCAATACGTGAAAATATTGTGAACTATACCACTGGGAGATGCAAATGAGGTTCCCTATTCCTTAGAATGACCAAAACTGAGAATCAGGTGTCTATGGTGGAAAAACCTCCTCTAACATAACTGGTGTAATCACTTTGGAGAAAATACTAGCAGTTACCTAATAGAGTGGAAGAAACTTGTACCTTGTAGTCTAGAAAACTACCATCAGATTTATAGTCCAGGATAATAGCAACATTTAGGTCATTATAATGGGGACACCACTATTAGAAGGCTAGGCACTCTTCCTGTATAACGACAATACTGCTCCATGTCCTACAGTTTTTAAGCTACTCTGCTGGACAATCACAGAGGTAAACAGGGAACAAGAAAAATAAGATCAATCCTAAGGTCAGGTACTTCTAAATGAGACTCAACACCACATATTTGTATAAAAGGAGATGGTGACTATTTTGAAGAATTGAATCAGTATGAAAAAGAGGTTACAATGGCCATTTAAACATAGCTATAATCTAGTAGCTGTCATAAAGACTGTATCATCCATTGGTACAAAATACCTGTCTACTACTTCTAGCACCTCTACTTAAGACTTTACTGTGCTGTGCACACACATTGCCAGGGCCTCAGATTCCACACCTCCAACAAGCTCTCCATGCCACTCTAGTGCCATACTTGGTAGAAAGGCGAGTGTCAAGCAGGAAAACACATATTACTTTAATTAATAAACCTGTCCAAATATAGAATGCCAATACCAACATGCAAGACACGGAATTCATCAATTAGTACTCTTAAACTAGTATTACATAACCTGAGGAACTATCGCTTACATGCTCCTCATTGCCTTTTCTACAGGAGTAAGAGAACCATTTTATTAGTGCTACACTACACTAAAACCATCATTTTGTAATTATGATCCAAAGTAATTTTGTTCTACGAAATAGACAAAACCTTTGTCCGCTGCTATCTCATACCTTATTTAGAAATGGTTAAAGACACCCAAGAAAACAAGCCGCATCCTGTATCAGCTACAATACTACTGTACAGCGCGGGACAAAATTAATACTGCCTAGCCTGCTGAAAATCTAATCCTATCCTTGCCAATTAACCTTATTAATACTAGAGCAGGAGAAAATAGAGGTCAAAATATGGGTAAGGTAATAACTTACGTCTTCTTGGATCTCAAATAACATAGCAAGCAAGACACAAAAGAGATTTTGTATCTTTTATAGGTTTACCTTCTATTCTTCAAGTAATGCCACTGCTTCTTCCAAAATACAATTTATCAACAAGCATGGAGTTGAGCAGTCACTATTAGAACACTGGCAGTCAAGCTATTACAAACTACCGCATTGGCTATGCTGAGGTTATGTTATCCAACAGAATTCATGCAATAAACACAGGAAAAACCCAATTCTTTCGGGGAAAAAACTCCATGAATTGTAAATCTGTTAATACAAACAGTATTATGTTAACTTTCTACTTAGGCTCACTAGTTTCAATTACTGACACAGAATTCTTGTCCAAAATTCTTTTTACTTATTGGAGGCTTTATTAAAAAAAAAAATTCTTACGTTTCGTTACACACATTTTTGAAAGTATTATACACCCAAAATGTTAAAAAGTTTACTCTCTATTCCGTTATTCATCCTTTGCATACCAAGCCTACCGCACACTGATTTAAAGCATCAATTAAAAACATATCTTCTGCCATTGGCAGGAATCTCTCCATCAATCAAAGCTCTTAACATTTTTTTTTAAACAAGAAGCCGAGGTTAGACTCTTCTTCACCAACGACCTCCGCACAACACAATTTGACACAGCTTTCTCATTTTCGGGCGGGTAAAATATAGTTCCTAAACAAACAAAAAACCTCTTAATTTTCCAATTAAAATCGATTCCTGATAAGCTTGCCCCAGAGTTCTTAAGGAGACCCAAGTTCGACCATCTGAAGAAGCACCCTGCGACGGCCCGACTCCAAAGCACAAAATCCGTGCCAATTCCGTCTGACACCAGGCGGGCCAGATTCTGCACCCGGGAGGGAAGGCGTCCAGGCGTCCGCGGACCCGAGAGAGCCGGGGAGGGGATGGGAACGCGAGTCCGCCTTCCATTCCCGGGGGAGAAAAGCGAGCGGAGCGGAACGCGAAGCGGTGCGCGCCGACACGAGTCCTCCCGGCCCATCCCGGCCCATCCCCGCCCCTCCCCGGATCGCGGGTGCAGACCCGGGCGCCGCGGCCCCTGCCTCCCGCCCGCGCCAGAGAGATCCGGGTGGCGACAACAAAGCTGTCGGCGCCCCTCCCCCGCCGCCCGACCCGGCCCGGTTCCCGCGCCTGGCTCGGGCCCAGCGCGCCTCCGACCCCGCGGCCCCACGCACCTGCACCGGGGCGGCCACGGCCGGGGCGCCGGGCCGGAAGAGTCGGGAGAGAAGGCCCGCCGCCGCGCTGTGCTCCGGCCACCGGACGCTCCCTGCCCGCGGACGGCCCAGCTGTGCGGCGGCTGCGAAGACTGCGGTGCCCGGCGCCGGGACGGAGGACGGCGGAGCCCGCGGGGGCCCTGCTCGCGCTCCCGAGTTTTAGCCGCGCCGCTCGCGTTCTGCTGAGTAACGGCCCGGGCGTGAGGCGCTGGAGCAGCGGCCGCCGCCGCCGCCACCGCCGCCGGGGGGTCTCGGGCCTCACGTCCCGCGCGGCCGTGGTCGCAGCCGCCACCTCCTCTGCTGGCACTGCAGACAACACCCAATCCCAGCTGGATCTTTCTTCTCCTCAGTCTTCCTTCCTCTGCTCCTCCTCTACCCCTCGAGCGCCGGGCTCGCTCCGGTAGCGGGTAGGAAGCCGCCGGGGCGTTGAGGGGGCGTGCAGAGCCGGCGGAGCCCGGAGTTGGTCACTGACTGAAGGAAGGTGCCAAAGCTGACCCGGGCGCCAGCCTGCGAGCGGCCGGGGGGAGGGCCGAGCGCAGCTTCGCCCAATTTCCACCAATCCCAAGCCACCCAGTAGAGTCGGTAGCGCACTGCGCTCGTGGAAAGGCTGAGCGGAGTCGGCAGGAGGCGGGGATTGCGGAAAAGAAGAGCCAATCGGAGTAGAAGATCCCCGCCCCTCCCCGTGATGGACTGCCTCTTTCGGGCCAATAGGGGAATTCTCATTTCGAAGAAAGCGGGATTGGCTCGCTCGGTGTGGAACAGAGCCTGCACAGAGGGCCTCGGCGGCGCCTGGGCAGCATGGAGTTCCCACACCTGGAGCCCGGAGGACGCGAGGACGGGATGGGTGTCACGTGTGCTGACCGGGAGCGGAAGGCCGCGTAAGCTGCTTCCGGGTCACCCGTTGACACTTCCGCACAGGGAATCTGCTCCTCCGTCTTCTCTGCGACTTTTTCACTTCCCCTGGTGCGAGGTGGTAGCGATTTCGGTGATGAGCTCCCAGAAAGGCAATGTGGCTCGTTCCAGGCCTCAGAAGCACCAGAATACATTTAGCTTCAAAAATGACAAGTTTGATAAGACTGTTCAGACGAAGGTAGGAACCTATTGTGTAGACCCTGACTCCAGGAAGAAATGATTCATTAGCAGGGGTGAGGTTATGTGAGTTGGCAAGGGCGAGTTAGTCTTGGCTGCGCGCAGCCCTTTCTAAAATGTTATTCCCACGCCCTTTCTCTGACCTGGCTTTGTCGTCTGGTAAATGTATCTGATGGTCAACACATTTAACTAATTGCATAGCGCGGACAGGACCGTCCTGAGAACCAAGGAACAAGGGGGTAAACTGAGTCTGAATGCTCCCCGCTGGATGTCCCGTTTGGAGTAGGAAGACGTTATGGCCCAAGTTTATGCAAATATTGTTTCTTTTTGGCAAACCCCAAGCAGGAGTGTGTGAATGATTAAGTGCTTTCAGCTAACATAATGGGAATTTCTTTCTGTGAGATTTTGAAGAGCTAATTATTTATGTGAAAATGATTGCTGTTCCTAAAGTTATTTATTTCGTTAGCACGATTTCAGTAGGCTGCAAGAAAATTAAAGACTGTTTAGGTGGCCAGAGAACTTGGATTGCATTGCTGTGGATTTGTCTCTACACGCACAAGTGTAAGTCTATAGAGAGGAGCTAATTGACAAGAGCATATTAAAGGTCTGCGTTACATTCGATAAACCTGATAGTCGCCCAAACTGACTTACTAGAACTTACTAGTAGCCACAGTTATTTAATATTTGATATTTCTGAGTTTTACTTTGTCTCAAATGAGAAACTGACAGAATTATTTTGAGACTGAAACATGTATATAAGTGGTCTGGGTCATAACATGCTCATGATAAAGTTTCTCAACATCAGGACAGTAAACTAATCTGTTTATAATAACTGGTGGTCTTCTTTTCCTTTTTCTTTCATTTACTCTACAAATATTTAATGAGTATCTTCGTCATCAGAGGCCTCAGGCGGGTATACAGTGTTCGAAAGAATTGAATTGGTAAAGACAGTTCAATAAAGAAGAGTAAAAAAGAGCTAATTTTTAATTAGATTCTGAAAAGACCTCTCCTGTACTTGAGAGAAGTTTCAGAAGGAAAACCTTAAGCAACATTTGCAAAGAGTTTTGCAAGTTTGTGTCTGTTGTTAATAGGTAAAACCAGAATTTTAAAAAATAGAACTGTTACAAATAGTTGTCTGCCTCTTGTGAAGGTTTTGCACAAAGCTAGGCGTGGTAGTGCACAGCTATACTCCCTGTACTGAAGAGACTGAGGCAGGAGGATTGCAAGTGCAAGGCCACTCTGGACTACATGGCCAGACCCGGACTTAAGGAGGGGAAAAAACGATTATACTCGAACATTTGATTCTGATTATTTTTTCATCATATGATAAAAGTAGCAATAGTATTTATATGTATAGTATTCCTAAACTTCTTGCACTGTACTTTTTTATGTGCAACTTCTTGGTGTTATCCAATAGCTGTTTGTTTTCTCTTTTAGATTATTAAAATGTTTCATCTGTCGGGTTCAGACCACCAAGCTCTTTGTTGGAAGTTCTGACTAAAACAGAAACATTTTACTGAGGACAGGATGTCTCATGGGAAACTAATAAATAGCAGTCTTTTGACCTAGCTATATGCAGCTATCTAAAGCTAAAACTGTAGGAGCGTCTGACCCTGTCTGAGGAGTGAGTTCTTTGTAACTCCTTTTAGGATTGTACTGCAGTTGACTAGAACCTCAAATGCTAGAGTCCTTTTTTTCCCCTCTCTGTCAAACAATTTGTCAGGCCTTTACTGAAATTAGAAGTTGGGTAATAACGTTTTTATTGGGAAATTTACCTAATGTGCCCATACCCCCATATTTGATAATATTCTAAAAGAAAAGAGAAGCTTGTATTGTGACATTTCATATGAGCAAACTTGGACCAGAAAGTCAAACGCTGAAGGGTTTTGTTGAGGGAGTTATGTAACACTAAAGTCTGCATGATGATTTTGTAACCTGTCCTTTCTTAGGGTTAAAGCGTCTGTCCCTTTGGGGGACTGATAGCAAGGCCCCCAGACTATTGATGGAGGTCAGGAAGGGAAGAGATGAAAATAGATTTGAATCTCTTCTGGTTATTTGGTATAAACATGTTGATTCTGTGCCTGGCATGATGGTGCACACCTGTGATCCCAGCACTTGAAAGGCTGAGGCAGAAGGATTGCTGTGAATTCAAGGCCAGCATGGGCCGTGTAGCGACAACCTGACTCAGATAAAATAAAGTAAAATATTGATTCTGTCAAGTCAGTCTCTTTCCCTTACTGGAGAGGCAGTGATGTATAAATGAAAACAACATTGAACTAAAAGAAGAAAACCATGTTTTAGCCCCAATTCTGTTGCTTGTTTTGCTTTGGGATGCCAGACAACTTGTCTATAGCTTTTAATCTCCGTTACTAAATTAATACAATACTGTCTCTTGGGAACCCATTAAGGACCCCTCCTGTCTCCCAGGAGCTATTTCTATTTCCCATTGCTTTTCCTCAATAAATCTTCCTACTCTTAACCTCTGGTGTTCCTTAGAATTCATTCTCCAGCTTCAATGTGTTGGATGTCTAGCAGTTTGGGAGTTACATATATTTCCCTTGTTTCATTGGCTGTCTGATGATACTCTTGTTAGCCCCAGTGAGATAACTGCAGGGTGCTAAAGGCCTATCCAAGATGAGAAAGCAAGCATCTGTCGAGGGCCTGAGATACTGGGGAGTATCTCACTGCCAGTCACAGCAACTACCCTCTTCAGCCAGAGGGTCCCTCACAGCAGTTAGGGACCTCTTCAGAGAAGGAAATATTACAGACAGCTAAGTCAGGTAGAAGTACCGTAGGCAGTGAGACAGAGCCAAGCCATCAAGGGAGTAATACAGAAGGTGAGAACATGTTACAACTGTAGCTGGAGGCACATTTGAAGATTAAAGTGGCCAGATTTACATACTTCCGTATGGTGTAAGTGAAGTTTAAGATTATTGGTCCCACTCTTTTGAGATTTCCTGTATAGATAAACCATTATTTCATTAGAAGTAGGCCATTCTCTCCTCCAAGACAAACACTATAAGGAAGACTAAGACTACAGTTTATAGGCAAGGGTTAATGTCATCCATATGCCCTTACTACATTGGATCAATATTACCCAAGTGACTATAAATGTAACCTTACTAGGTGATCATAATTTTTGACCAAAGTTGTCCCTGTCTCATGTTTTTGCTCTGCAAGCCTTCGAAGTTTTTAGTAACAGCTAATACTTGTATATTTGTGTTCTTAGGTGTGTTATGCACTGTGAATACTTTATACACATCATCTAGTCTTCAAAATAACCTTAGGATAGGTGGTATAATTATCCCAGTTTACCTACTGGGAAATTAGGGCTTAGGGAATTGAATAATGTGTCCAAAGTTATATCACGTTGGTCTCAGGAAGTTAGTTCTCACCAGTGTTGTTACAAAGCGAGGTCACTGCATGTGCTTGTCCCCCTCCGTACACAGCTCTCCCCTTTCCACTCCTGTGCCATCCTGTGAGGCAGCAAAGGGAACAACACTCATCAAAAGCTGTAGAGATGGGGTTACCACATTTTGGACTTTCAGCCTGCCAAACTGTGAAGTAAATAAACATCTTTGGTTTATAAGGTTCCTGTCCTCAGATAGTGACAGAACACAGATAACGTAGCCCCTAAACACTGCTGGCTTGAAATGTTATAGAGTCTCTTTTCGTGACGTGTGCCCTTGGAGTGTCATGCTTCATAGATGGAGGTAGCTGAGGTGGGTCTCGCCTAATCAGCTGGAGTATGGGAGCTAGAGCTTCTTCTGCCCACTTAATGTAGAAGCGGATGCTAATGTAGTCCGATCCCTCAGCTTCTTGTTTGGTTCAAACAGGAAGAAAGCTGTCCTAACTTTAAGGTTGTATGATCGCATTTATACAGCAGAACAAATTTCTGTGTTCACAAGCTTCATTATCAGCACTATCACAAAACAGGAAAACCCCAAATACCTGTCAGCAGGAGATCGATATGCAGATTGGGCAGATGCATACAGTGAGATACTCCTGTGCTATTTTAGAAACAAAGTGCTGATACATGTATTGTGAGTGAATCTCAAAAATGTGGAGGGAAAGATACTGATTCCCTCCAAAAAGTAGGAGCTGTACTTGCCCTGGGTACAGGGGAATTGAAATTGACTAGGATGCAAAGAAACTTTCTAGGACGATGGAATCAGTCAGGATTACAAGAGTGAATACACTTATCCCATTTTATTGAATTGTATTTAAAGCTGTGCATGGTGCTAATGTAAATTTTAGCTCAACTAAAAACAGATACTACAACCAAAGGGCTGATTACCACCACTCAGGTGTAATGAAACTTGTTCTCTTTGGTTTTTGTTTTGGAAAAGTTACAGGAACATGTATCAGTCCTTTTTAAACAGAAAACTGTATTATTGAAGAATAAACAAAAAATAATGGCATGTACTGAATATCTCGCACAAATACAATACCTATAATTCTATTGACTTTCTCCCTTTATCTACAAATTCTAGTCATGACGCTTGACTTATTTCTCTATACAAAAGGTACAAATAATTACAAAGTGGATTTTGTGTGTAAGTTTCCAAGCCTGGGCACTGATTATTTCTAGTCACACTCCAATATAGAGGTGTCATCTTAATTCATTTGGTTGTGATGCCTGATGCTTTAAAATAAATGACTAAAACTTTGCTGTAGAAATCAGTTCCTCATACTATTAGTGAGGCTCATTGTGGAATGATATTTATCCTGTCTCGCAAGCCCAGGAATGTTGAGCCATGGGGAACAGAGCCAGATCACTCTAAGTAATCCCTGGTATAATTTCAGTGTGATGAAGGATCAGTCCTGGGAATAAATGACATTTCTCTGTCATCGAGTGTCAGTAATTAGGGGTTAAATCCATGGGCTACTATTGAGCACAGCAATTGGGCAGATAGAGTGTACCTTGGTTTCAAGTTCACTACCTCAAGCAATTTAGGTATCTTTCTAGTGATGTAAAGGTATCTTTCTCATATCTGTTTC